ATGGTCTGTGTCTGTCAGGGATTCACACTGCCCCACTTGTTCCTGCAGCTGGCGAATGCCCTGCTGGAGAAGGAAGTGATCAACTACGAGGACATCGAGGCTCTCATCGGCCCCCCACCCCATGGGCCTAAGAAGATGATGGCACCACAGAGGTGGCCCGACGCCCAGCGGGAGAAGCAAGACTCTGCAGAGGAGGAGGTGGCTCAGCAGCCTCCGCTTCAAGAAGAGCCCTCATGGCCAAAGTAGTTGGAATTCCCTGGCTGTTTGTGCGGGTGGCCCAGGAGGTGAAGTTTTACTTAGCTCCGATTTTCTTTGCAACTGAAATCTGCACCTCCTCTTTTAGCCCTTGATGGTCTCTGCCAAAGGGCTTCTGGCGTCTACTTACTGATCTCCTATACGTGATTAGTAAATTTCTTTGCAGAGATGACTGACTGGACTTTGCATTTGTGTATCATTTTCCCCTATGGGGAAGGCTGTCAGTGCTTGTTATGAGCATGCTTGTAATGGTTTTCGTGCTCCCAGGCTTACAGACACTGTTGTGACTGCGTGTGGCCCTGTTGATCCAGCGGCAGCACAGCAGTCAGACTGAACAGTCCCCTGTTCATGCCTGAAGCTTGTGCACAGCCTGTCCCCTTTTTCGTTGCCCCCTCAGAATGCTAACAGGGCCTGAGATGAAAGGACCCTCTGAGCCGGCTGTCCTGGTCCTCACTGGTTCTCTCATTGTGCTCACTCATCAACGGGGCACAGTGTTGGGACCAGGCTCCGGGCTCTAGAGGATTCAAACACCGCCACCTCCCACTGTGTGGTCCTTGGGGGTCTGGTCATGCTGTGTGGGGGACACCATGGTTTTTAATGCCCCGATAATTTTTTTGATATTTTACTAATAAATTCTGTGGATGAAGAATCTCCATTTGTATTGAGTGGCCACCTGTAATTGGGAGGGGCCAGAGGGTTTGTCCTGGATCACAGGATCTTGTATTTTCAGTTTAAAACTTGAGCCATGCAATAACTAAGTGGAAAGCTCCTTCTGTAGGACTCTGGGGCCTATACCACATAGGGTAGAGGGCCCAGGATGCTCCACAGTGGACTGGGCTCTTCACGCCTCGGGTGTGTGACATGTGCTCACCTACTCATACCTCCTGCTGCTGCCTCCACCCTCCCTGTGTGGTGACATCTGGATGGTTCTGTGGTTGCTCCAAGGAAGTGCCTGCTGTGCAGTACATGGGCAGACAGGGTGTGGCTTGGGCCTGAGCGTGGGCAGCTCTGAGAGCACTGAGTGTTTTGAGAGGACTCTTTGACCTTCATCCTGCTTCTCCAAGTTCATTACCAAAGATCACCATGGAGTTGGGAGGTTTTTATCTGGTGCATCATCCGTAATTGTTGTGAAGTGGAAGTGGCCAAGCTTGTCCCGCTTATACTTCACCCACTGAAATGGCCTGTGTTTGCCCTTTGGAGCAGCATTTGCTGAGTGCCAGTGTGATGAGGGGCCACAGCACAGTTAAGGGGGTGTCTTGGTCATCTACTTGGCTTCCCAGCGCTCTCTAGCATGGGTGGACTCAGTGGCCACTCAGTGAGGGAAAGTCACTTTGATTCTGCTGTGGTTTATAGAAGTAAGTTGTTCAGACATTGGCCCCTCTGATTGGTCATTGGTCATCTGCTACGTACCTCATTTGTACTTGACAAAGACACTGGGATTTATATGAACTCTTCTCTCATGCTGAAACCACATTGCTCCCCCACACCTCCTTTAAGATCCTGGGGGTGAAGGGGCTTCAACAATAGCATGTGGTCCCCTGGAGCAGCTGGACTGCCCTGGACAATCTGTGTGGCCAACGCTGGAATAGCTGAAGAGCCAGGCTTAGTCCTGAGCCTCCATCCTCCGACCAGCAGAGTGGGCACAGAGCAGCCTGATTGTTCCTTCTGTGATCCTACCTTCATCTAGTTTGGTGTTTGAGGTCTCCTTGTGGAGACAAGCACATGTTCTTTAAGAAGATAGGAATATTTTTTTTTTTTCGTGTCCGGCAACAGATCGCAACCCTCAGTGTCGCGCCCGCACCGGACCGGGACCGGCAACGGGATCGCAACCCTCGGTGTTGCTCCCACACCTTGCTCAGCCAGTGAGCGGGAACTGGTCTGTATGTGGGATCCAAACCCTCGGCGGGAGCGCCACCGCGCTCCCAAGCGGCACACTGTAGCAGTGCGCCACCGGGCCGGCCCGAAGATAGGAATATTTAACACAATCACAGAAAGCCCCAGAAAATCTATAAAGAATATTAAAAGAAAAAAACTCATAAGTTAAAGTCATAACACGACTTATTCTCCACTCTGTGCTCATAAAGAAACGTGTTTGACAAAGATAATGACACACTGTCAGTTTTTCACTGACATCAGCATGTCTTGTATTAGAGGCACTTTTGACTTAGCCAAAGTCTGATTTATGTGTAGGCCACGAGTTTGGAAGCTGAAAGGCCAATGGGTATTTGTCCTGTGCCATTATCTTGTCCTTGATTTTAGTTATTAGGCTGCTGCTTTTCCTGATTCAAACATCAGCCCATACTTAGATGACAAACATTGTTACTATGCTAATTTTTGCAAGGTGCTATAAGGACATAATTTTTTAATTTTTAGTAAAATGTTATAAAATCACTTTGCTGCTATGATATTAATAAAAAATAATCAAAATTGTGTGTCTGAAAGAGTTCCAGATGCTGAAAGACAAGGAAGCGGTTATTGACTGTCTTAGATTGGATTTTGTTTTGAAGACACCAAGATCCTGGGAGGTGCTTTCAGGAAGCACCAGCAGGGGTTGGAGGAGGCAGGGAAGGGGAGGTCATTGCAGGTACAGGTTTGGAATGAGTGGTTTTGGAATGTGTGGGTTACTGCTGTAATTGGAGCGCATTCCTGCAAGAGAACTCAGGGAGCCTGTGCAGACCATCCCCCTTCCCCTCCAGGGGTGTTTATCCAGGAATCCCTGGCTCTCCTTGGTTGAGTGCTGTTTCCAGGGGTATTAACAAGCCTTTTCAGTGGCCCTTGCAGGCCCAAACCTGGGACAAAAGTTCCTAGGCAGAGATGTGTCTGAAGTTTTGTGCCCAGGGGGACACGGACTGTCCCTATAGCTAAAGGTTTTTAAAACCCTTGGACAAGCCAAGTCTTTGTATCAGAAACACTCCTGCATAACTGTTCACTTCAGTCTTTTCCAGTGGGAAAGCTGAGCATCTTTTCAGCAGAATTTCATATCAGAATTTTTTAACCTTCCTATCTCACTTCTCCTAGGAAATAGGGGAGGAGTGTTCAAGCTTGGAAAAGTTGGATTCTTTGTCTGTTTTGCTTATGTGCAGCAGAACAAAGTCTTCACATTACAACTTTACTTCCTTCCAGTTAACTGGATTTGGAGCAGTATTTCCAATTTCAGACCTCTGGCCCCAGGGCAGCATCTTAATTAAGAGCAGCTGGAACTTAGGTGAAGGTGTGAGTTAGGACAGATGGTGCTGCATGAGTCTGCAGGTCTGTCCAGAAAGAGAAATTGGTGCCAGAGATGAGAATGTCTTTGAGATTAGAAAGCTGGGCCCTGGGGTGTTAGAACCAACCAGCATCACTCATTCACCAAATTCAGTGTCCTGTGGCCTTAGCACAGTTCATCCTTCCAGCAGTCTTTCTGTTTCACAGATGGGAAAAGTTCAAATAACTTGCTCAAAGTCTCAAAATTAGTACAGAGGTAGAACCCAAGACAGCTCCACAGCCCATATTCTTACTGACTTGTGGACCATTAACCTCCCAAGCAACTTGTCTGTGTTTGTGAAAAATGGCAGACTAAAGAGATTTTATTTTATTTTTTAATTTTTTTATAAAGATGACCGGTAAGGGGATCTTAACCCTTGACTTGGTGTTGTCAGCACCACGCTCAGCCAGTGAGCCACTGACCCGCCCACTAAAGAGATTTTAAAAATTAACTTCACAGATGGATACCACTCTCGAGTTTACTCCAAAGTGCTTTCATTTACACCCTTGTATTTATAAACAATTGTGCAGCAAACAGGGCTGTATTGCCCTCGTTTCACATGGAGCACATGTCCACTAAGTGGTAGATTTGAGAGTTTGTCTATTTATTTATTTATTTTTGGTGGCTGGCCAATACAGGAATCGAACCCAGGACCTTGGTGTCATCAGCAACACACTGTAACCAATGATAAGAGACCAGGAAAGGAGAATAAAAAGTGATTCTATTTTTTTGAACTTAATTGACTTGTTTTCTTCTAGTCCAATAAGCTGACCCTTCATTAGAATTTACTGCTTGATAAACAGACTCTTTTCTAGGAAGTTATCACCAAGAAACCGGTTGTATAGAAAAGCACAGGGGACATTGTTTAGAGAAATCTTGGGAAGACAAGTTGTGTCAACCTGTGAAACACATGAAAATTACTTGCAAATTGAATAGCCTGGATTAGAGCAGCTATGAATATTGTAAAAGGCTTGAGAAATGATTTTCTCAACCCAAGGGTGTCTCAGTGAGGCAAAAAACTATCACCAACCCATGTATTCAGTGCAAGACACAGGCTTCCAAATTTCTCATTTGGAGTCATGAAATTCTTTAAATGTGGATTAAGTTTTACCAGGAGGAAGCTTGGTGATTGGAGCGAGGGTGGGAAAGAAATGCTTTTGGGATGTAAACGTTTACAGATAGCAGTAGAGTGATGGCGACTTCGCAGACTTGTCCTGGAGAATAGGAGGTGAGCCAGGCACAGGACATGGATGTATGCCCTGGCTACTTAATGTGGTTTGGTTTTGTTGTGATGATGCTTGTCTCGGTGATCGCGGAGAAGTTACCTAATCCCTCGGCCAAGTTTCCTCATTTGGAAAAGCCAGTAGTAGCTCCTACCTCACTTGCTGGTTGTGCGGATTAAACGTGAAAATGCACGTGTAGTACCGAATGTCCAGCTTACAGAAAACACGCCATAAATGTTCATTTTGTGTAAAGAAAGAAGCATAAATGTTCTAACCGGATGGGGGGTATGAGAAACGACTTCACTTGTCCAATGCCAAAGAATGGACATGGAGACATGAGGTACGACTAAGCGAGACTTTATGCTGGTTTTGCAAGATGTGTCTGTTGGGCAGGCACACCCAAAACGGTGACAACAAGCAATTTATTCCCTAGTGCGCAAGTCCCTCCCCCAGTTCCTCATTGGCTGAGTACTATGGGGTGAACAATCTTCCCGGATGTCACCTAAATTTCATTATTTATTAATTATTTTTTTTAAAAAAGATGACCGGTAAGGGGATCTTAACCCTTGACTTGGTGTTATCAGCACCACGCTCACCCAGTGAGCTAACCGGCCATCCCTATATAGGGATCCGAACCCGTGGCCTTGGTGTTATCAGCACCACACTCTCCCGAGTGAGCCATGGGCTGGCCCCTAAATTTCATTATTTATAAGGCATCTATTGTCCTCTTCCCTCTGGCAGAAAGGGACAGGTTCAAGACAAGCCCGTGAAAAAGGCACGCCAGAAGTCTTGAGGAGGAAGAAGAACCAAGAAATAAAAAGAACAAAGGGCTGGTGACCAGCCACCATTTGAGAAGTCATTTTTGGGAAAGTGTACTTTCTGGGGTTGTCACTAAGCAACTTAAGCTAGGTAAGCAACTTTTGTTAAGCTATTGTTGAAAATGAATCACAGGCTATTTTCTTATGGGGGGGAGGGGGGAACAAACGCCGGAGAGGAGGACCGAGGTTTTAGAAGGCGCTAATTTGCATTTCACTGAAGCTTCTTCGCCTTTGCGCCGCTAACGTGCCGTGTCCCAGAAACGCACAAACAGCAAAATTCGCAGAACCCTAACGAAGAGTTCACGGAATTCAAGCCGCCCCTGTCTTCCTTCAGCCGCAGGATGTCCGCACCGCCTCCCGGGCCGGCGCAGAGGCTGCAGCGCCGGGGTGGCTCCGAAGGCACAAGAGAATCAATCGTCGAGCAGCAGGACCACCCCGCACTGCGGCGCCTGAGGCGGCGCCATGTCTGTCCTGGTCGCGCGAGGGAGCCTGGGAGGACACGGCTTGGACGTCACTTCCTCCTTTCCTGGCTCCGATTGGTCAGAACGCCCGGCGCTTCTGATTGGTCGCGCCCGCCACATCCCAGTCTGCCTTGCGACGGCGCTTCCTTTCCGTTCGGTTGTTCTCCGGCCGAGCAGGTGTGGGCGCTTGGGGCGAGCGTTCGGCGCCATCGGGCTCCATCCGCCGCCATCGGCTCCGTGCTGCTGTCGGCGCGGCCGTGGGGGGTCCCTGCGGCCCAAGCCGGGGCCTCTTCTCAGTCGGAGACGGCGTCTGGCCGGGGCCCAGGCTCTGGGCGCGGCGGAGTGTCTGCACAGTCAAGAAGGAAAGAAAATACGACCCCAATCTTTATAAATAGCTGGCGTATCAGTCAAGTGTAAAGATAAGCAGGAATTTGTTTACTCAAGATCGTACTGTATCTTTGCACTGGAGTTTTCCTTAAACCCAAGAGCTTAAGAACATGATACCTGGAACCCTCTTTGAAGTCACATGGGGACATTGAAATTCAAAGATTAAGAGATGAATTGAGATAAAGAACTCAGGGAGGAAAGTGAGAAATAAAGAGCTGGGTAATGAGCATTAAATCATTTTAGATAGAGAACATAGTACCAAGTTGAAAAGGATCTGGGAATTGGGGTTATAGAATAGAAATGTCACAGTGTGAAATGAACAGAATAATAAAATTGGGGTGAGAAGTCCAAACGTGCTAAAAGTTCATACTTCATATAAAGGCAGTAGATGCAGTCCGAAATCACGATGTGACTTTAAAAGAGATGTAATGCTATGTCAAAAATCCAGGTAAGGCGGGTGATGACCGTCTCCGGAATCGCTGCACCGCGCTGATGAGAGCACGCGAACCCTCGTCTGACCGCTGAACGCGCGCCCGCGGCCCGCCACCACCCGGCCTCACCCGCGTCTGCTCCGCGGCAGGTGGCCGGCATCCACAAGAAGCTGGCCCGGACCATCGGCATCTCCGTGGTCCCCAGGCGGCGGAACAAGTCCACCGAGTCCCTGCAGGCCAACGTGCAGTGGCTGAAGGAGTACCGCTCCAGGCTCATCCTCTTCCCCAGGAAGCCGTCGGCCCCCAAGAAGGGCGACAGCTCGGTGATTGCCGGGCGTGGGGCAAGAGGGTGCGGGGAGGGGTCTCTGAGGGCGGAGAAAACATGGCCATCGCGTGTAGGTGGTAGGACTGACGCAGTAGTCCCCGGGAGGGCCGCGGTTCGCTGTTGCTGCTCTCAGCAGCCGTCATGTGCTGTTCTGTGGTCGTGGTGAAAGCTTTTTGACTTGGAGCCAGACTTTATCCGTTGAAAGCATTTCTACCTTTGGGACGCTGGATATCCTAAACGATTTTTAGAGAAACCTTGTAGAAGAAGGTTGAGAGTGTCCATCGGGATGAGCCGTCTGTGAGTCGAATCAGGGGACGTATTTGCTCAACCACTTTCCTGTCTCACACGTAGGTGGTTCTTATGGGACAAGGTGAGCCTCCACCTGTCCTTGTTTTGTCAATTAGATAGAACAATAGTTCAATAAGAACACGGGGGCTGACAACACTATAGGCTCAGGTACTGATTCTGCCTCCAAGAGCACAGGACACAGGAACAGGTGTGGGGCACCCCGTTAGTGGGTGGGAAATGTGGAGTCCTCAGGACATTGGTGCTGAACCCACTTGATTCTCTTCTCTAACAGGCTGAAGAACTCAAATTGGCCACCCAGTTGACGGGACCAGTAATGCCCATACGGAACGTAAGTCCATGTGTGGTTTGCTCAAGTTCGCTGGCAGCCTCAGTGTGAAGCTTTCCAGCAGTTCTTGGGTTGCATGCCCTGCTCTCCTTTGAAATCCTGTGGGTTCTGCTGATATGGTCGTGGACCGTGCCTTGGTGGCTTACTGGTGCAGCTGGACTTGACCCTTGTCCTCTCTCTCAGGTCTACAAGAAGGAGAAAGCCAGAGTTATCACCGAGGAAGAGAAGAACTTCAAGGCATTTGCCAGTCTTCGCATGGCTCGTGCTAATGCCCGGCTCTTTGGCATCCGGGCAAAAAGGGCCAAGGAAGCTGCAGAACAGGATGTGGAAAAGAAAAAATAAAGCCCTGTTGTGGACTTTGAATAAGTCAGTAGTTTCTCTGATGGAAGCAGCAGGCTTGGCCTGTGGGCCTTGACTTGCTGGTAGGAGATTGCAGAGGGTGGGGAGGCTTTCTTGAAAGGAGCCCAGAGCCTGGGTTATATCTGATGTTCTGTATTTTAGTGCTATTAGTTATTCGATTAATCACTGATTTAATAATTGCTTTGAGTTGCTTTTTGTCACCAGAGTAATTTCAAGTTATTTTAGCGTGTCAGGACTTGGGGTGGTCCCACGAGCCTTGCATGAATCTGACAACAACTTTGACTTGCGTCCTGACCCTTCCTGGGCCTGTCTGCATCAGCCTCTGGCTGTCCCAAAAACATTCTGAAGCTGTTCTTCCTACTTCATGGCCAGTTGGCAATCCAGGGTGTCTTCACTGCCTGCCCCTGAGAAAGTCTGGAGCCCGGTGGGGTCTGAATTGTGCCTGCTCTGTGTGCTGAGGGTGGCGGGGCCTGGGTTTCTTCATGCCCTGCCTCTGTACAGCTGAGCCTGCCGCCCTCGATAGCCGTGGCCATGACAGCCCAAGAAGCAGCTTCTGGGGACTGAATCTGTTTCGTGTGTTTCTTGTCTGGCCACACTGGCCTTGGGTCTTTATGAACCTAATGGAACGTTTCCAGCATAGAAATAGCTGATGATCAGTATCATCCCCGCTACCTTATTCACTGATAACGCAGTATGTGCAATCTAATGTCTCCTATCTTGTTTGGAAGCAGATCCTAAATGCCATATTTAATAGATAATTTGGAATTCGGTTGACTACTGTTTTAACATCTAAAATTGAGTTTATAATGTGTTGACTTGCATGTTTGGAAAACATGTCCTATGTAAAGGTTAGCTAGGTCGTCCATGAGGTGAGGAGTGAATTTGAGGCTAGGTTTGTGTCTCTGAAAAAGGATTTTCTTATTTGAGGGTTTGCTCTGGGCTGTTCTATCTGGAGACACTGGCATGTTCTGGATGCCTCCTGGTGGCACTGTTCCCAGAGGTCCCAGGAAGCCTCCTTGGGGAGACAGAGTTAGGATGACTTAACCAGCAGAAGATTCCTGTGTTTCCAGGAGGGGTGCAGGGCAGGGGCAGACAGCGGGTTCCGGAATGAGGCCTCCATTTCACTGGCATAGATGGTGGCCCAGATCTGTGTCGGCTGTTTCAGATCCAGGGGCCGTTTGTCCATTTGTTAGGGGCAGTAAGGCTCTCTGCGTTCTGCCCTGGGGAGGGGAGAGCAGGGAAGAAGCCTTCCCGTTAGACACCCCTATCCCCCCTTGTGCCACCAGCTGTACCCCACTAGAATAAGGGCCCTTTTCTGCTGTTCCTGTTCCTGGAATAAGCGTGTGAGTGTGGATGAGATTAACACAGATTCTCATGGTTCAGGGTCTGGTTACACCCTGGTCAACATTGCTGTGTGATACAGCATCTGACCATTTGGTGATGAGGCTGGCTCACTGCCAGAGCGCACCTTCCCTGCCAGCAGGTCAGCTAGGTGTCTGCAGGGAATCAGGAAGGTGGAGTCAGGCAGTGATCCTTCGTACTGAGTCTCGGGCCACACTAACACTGCAGGGCTGATGCGTCTTTTCCTCTTGACAGATAGGAAAGTACCCAGGGTTGTGCTCCCAAAGTTTGATTAATCCACGAAAATCGCAGACAGGAGGGAGTGGGAGCCGATGTCCTCACCAGAAGCTGGCAGGCTGCAGCCCAGCACTGCTCTTAGCAGTGGGTTGTGTTCTTCAGAGCATGGCCCAGATTGCACTGGGACGATGAGTCTGGCACAGAAAGTGATTATGGGTCAGGCAGCTTTCCTGGTGTACCTGCTGTGAGCTGGGCCTTTCCTAAGGCCAAGGAAGGCTCTGTGAAGGACAGCTGGAGGTCTGTGGGGTGGTGGTGCTGATGTAGCCCCATCATGGAAGGTGTTGTGAGCCAGTCTTCAGACCTGTGCTGGGTTCCCTGGTGCGGCCAAGACGAGCTGGGGAAGGACGAGAGGGATTCATAGCAAAACTGTACACTTGCTCCAGCACACAGGTACTGGCCTGTCAGCTCAGAGACAGGGCCCCACCACCCTGGGCACCACTTTGTCAGAATATGGTAGCAGAACTCTAAGGTGGCCCCTGGGGGACATGCCCTGGTCCCGTGGGTGTGTGGGACTTTGGAGAGAGCACTTGTCTTGTGACATATGCGATGGCTGTGAGGTCCACAAACCAGGGCTGTCCTCTGCTGCTGTCCCTGTGGGGGCGGTTACCATGGCTTGCAGGGCACCAGGCAGGGAACTGTGATGGCCCCTAACTGAGCTAGCCCCTGCAACACCCACAAGCAAGCTGGGAAGGACCCCCAGCCTCAGGTGATTCAGTGACCTGGGTCACACCTTTATTCCAGCCATAAAAGCCCCTGCCAGGGAGCCCAGCTGGGCTGTGCCAGACCCCGAGACATACTGGGAAGCATCGTAAACATGTATTTTAAGCTGCCAAATTTGTGTTTGTTACCCAGCATAGAAAACTCAAGTACACACAGCCCTTATTTCCTTTTGCAGCTGGGCGGGATTCTGTCGGTGGGTGTGCACTCATTTAGCTAGTCTCCAGGGGAACACACAGTAGTTCTGTGGTGCTAGTAGCCATGTGAGAACGTCGGTTTTGCGTGTGGCAGGTGCGTCTTGGGGACATTCCCAAAGTGGGTGGCAGGGCCTTGCCTGCAGCGCCTGAGGCAGCCACCAGGGGGCAGGCACACGGCCTCGCAGGCCTGGAGCTGGGAGGTGGTCTGCCGGCTCTGCAGCTGTGACTGCCCATTCCTGGGAGACCAGTGCTGGTCTGATAAGAATTGCAAATCTTTTTCAGCTTATTGCTTATTTTGCTTACTATTTTTTTTCTAGACGTCAGGAATTTTGTTTAGTTTTCCCAGGCTGTGTTTTCCCCACTTTTTTTTTGGCAGCTGGCTGGTATGGGGATCTGAACTTTTGATCTTGGTGTGTTACAAGGCTGTGTTTTAACCAATTGAGCTAACTGGCCAGTCCCCCTCACCCCTTTTGATTTTTTTTTTTTTTTTTTTCCTTTTTTGGTCTTTTTTCGTGTCCGGCAACGGATCACAACCCTCAGTGTCGAGCCCGTACCGGACCGGGACCGGCAACGGGATCGCAACCCTTCAGTGTTGTGCCCCCACCTCACTCAGCCAGTGAGCGGGAACCGGTCTGTATGTGGGATCCGAACCCTCGGCGGGAGTGCCGCCACACTCCCAAGCGGCGCACTGTAGCAGTGCGCCACCGGGCCGGCCCATTCTCTCTCCTCTCTTACTCCCTCGGTGGAAATGCCATCTGTCACCTCCCGTGGTGCTGTGTTATGGGACGATTAAGGGCTGAACCTGCACCCTTGAACAAGCTGGGCTGCCTCGAGCAAGTCACTCAACTTTTTGAGGCCTCCCTTTCCACATCTGTAAAATGGGGTTGCTGTGAGGATTTAGGGGCTTGGTGCCATCCTGCAGCCAGTCCCGAAAGGGCACAGCAAACACCGGTGAACACCAGAGCTGTCCTCGGCTGTTGAACTGGAGATTTTTGGGAGATGTCAAGGAAAGAAGTCAGGCTTTGTCTGGGGAAAGGTTCCTCAAGGGCTGGTGGCCCAAGGACCATCACCCTGGCCAGGAGCAGCAGCGTCCACCCCAGTCTGGCCTTTGCCTGGATTTCTCATCCTTATCCCCACAGACGCACTTTGCCAGGGTGCATGTGCCCGGGGAAGCTGACTGGGCAGGCCTGGGGTCCCTGCAGACCCCAGAGCCTCCAAAACGAGCCCACCAGCAGATAGTGCTCTGAGAACGTGGCTCCCGCCAGCCCTAGGATGCTGGGCTGGAGTAGATGCAGGGACTGGAAGGCCCAGGGTGTCTCCAGGCTGGTCCCTACAGAGAGAAGCCAGCCTCTGTCGGCTGCTTCCTGAAGCTGTCCTGCCCTGGGCCAGCTTGGGAGAGGTGGCACAGAAAGGCTGGGGAGGCAGGACACGGGGGCAACAGGTGGGCGTCGCATCACTCACTGAGTCCTGACCCGGCCCTCGCCTCTTTAGCTAGCCTCCCAGGAAGGGAGAGCGGGTCCTGAAGTCCGGCTCTCTCGGCCTGGGAACAAGAAACCTCCCTCTGCAGACGCGGTGCACGGTCTTCGCCTTCCAGGCGCGCCCCGCGTGCCATCCCGCCGTCCGACCGCGAGGGGGCGCTGCGCGCCGCGTCCCGCGCGGGGTCGAGCCCCGAGCTCCCCGGTCTTCCTGCCCTCTTCACCTTAACTCCTTCTCTCCTGCACGTCCCTTCCCGGGACCTCCCTACCCCCGCCCCACGGCTTCCGGCCAGGTGTGTGCCCTGTTTTTAGGCAGAAATTGGCAAAGATAATGCGCCGGGAGGTGGTTTCTGTCCCCGCCAACACCTCCCCTTCCGAGCTGCTTCCTCTGCCGGGACCGGGTTGCCAGGGAGGCGGCGTGTGAGGTGTGGGGAAGGCGGAGGGGGCGGAGGGCGAATGACGCTCAGCGCGGGCCGGGCCGGCCCCTCCGCCCGGACGCCCCCAGCAGCGAGGGGCTGTCCCTGCCCGACTGCGGTTCCGCGGGAGCGGGACGCGTCCTCGCGCCTCCAGCCTCACCCAGCGCGGTGCCCACACTCGGCGCCACCGAACCCGGCGGGGCCTAGGGACGGGGCCGAGAGGTGCCGGGAAACGCGCGGGGCCCCGGGGCGAAGCTGCGGAGCGTTGCCCCCAGCGGCTGCCCGGCCGGAGACCGGCTCCCAGGCCCGGGGCGGCTCGGAGCCTCCGGCGGGAAACGCACAGGCGGGGCGGGCGGCCCCGGACACCTGCTCTACAGGCCGGGCTCTGCGACCCGGGCGCAGGGCGGAGGCCACCCGCTCCCCCGAGCGCGCCTCTGCCAGGCCCGCCCTCTCATCTGCACCCTTCTTGTCCCCCTCTGTCCTCTCCTCTGTCCCCTCCTCTGTCCCCTCCTCTGCCCCCTCCTCTCTCCCCTCCTCTGCCCGCTCCTCTGACCCCTCCTCTGTCCCCTCCTCTGACCCCTCCTCTGTCCCCTCTGCCCCCCTCCAAGGCCTTGCCCCCCGCTGTCCCCTTCCTCTGACCCCTCCTCTGTCTCCTCTGCCCCCCTCCAAGGCCTTGTCCCCTCCTCTGTTCCCCTCCTCTACCCCCTCCTCTGTCCCCCTCCCCGCGTGGAGGTGCGCTGGCCCGGGAGGGGCCCGGGGCAGAGGTGGCAGGGGGATGTGGGGGGGCGGGGGCGCAGCAGGGCAGGACCCTGGCGGTGGAAGGAGACAGTGCGGGATCCCCTGGGACCAGCTCGTGTGTGCGCTGGGTCTGCCTCCACTGTGGCACCTCGAGGTCGGCCCCTGGGCCCCAAACCCTCCTCAGCGCTTTGGTGCTTGGCTTGAGCATTGCCTGGTGCGCGTGTCCCTGGGAGGGGCAGACCCTGTGGACGCTTGGTTTGGGGTACAGAAGTTTGTGGCGTCCTGGAGTGGGAGACCTACTGGCCGAGCCAAGGCTTGTCCTCTGGGGGATGAGCTGGAGGAGGGAGGGGACCTGCACCCCCACAGACCGTCCGCACTCAGCTGGGTGCTGGGGAAGGGTCTCCACTTTGGGACTGTCCTGTCCAGGGTCGGAATCTGACTCCATCTTCGACTCAGTTTGTTCTTGGCCAGGACCCTTCCTTTCTCTGAGCCTCAGTTTCCTCCCTGTAATGTGAGGACAGAGCAGACAGTGGACATGAAATGATAAGCTAGAGGTGCGCCCTCGTCTCAGGGAGGGGGGTGCCAAGGGTCTGTGGGAATGACCCCCCAGGCGTGGCCTGAGCCCTGCAGTGGCACGTGGGTGAACAGGCTTCCCATGGCGTGGGCTGGAAGAGAGCAGATGAGCAGAGCAGGCAGCCAGCGCTGGAGCCCAGGACGGGTCCTTGGGGAGGGTCCGGGCTGGAAGGCCCTCCCTGGTGGGGTTGGCTCACAGGGCGCTGCTTGCAGGTGGGCAGAACCGAGGTGGTCCGGAGCGGCCTGCGCCCCGTGTTCTCCAAGGTCTTCACGGTTGATTACTATTCCGAGGAGGTGCAGAAACTGCGCTTTGAAGTGTATGACAGCCATGGGCCCAGCAGCCTCAGCTGTGAGGACGACGACTTCCTGTGGGGCCTGGAGTGCACCTTGGGGCTGGTGGGCTCCACAGGTGGTAAAAGCAACAGACTGTTCTGGGCACCGCAGGGGTCCTTCTGGGCTGCTCGTCCTGGCTCTGCTCCTTCCCTTAAAAATGTCCTGCTTGGGAGAGCGTGGTGCTGATAACATCAAGCCGAGGGTTACGATCCCCTCACCGGTAGTCTTTAAAAAAAAAAAAAAAAAATTCTAGGCCGGCCCGTGGCTCACTCGGTAGAGTGCGGTGCTGATAACACCAAGGCCACGGGTTCGGATCCTATATAGAGATGGCCAGTCTGCTCACTGGCTGAGCGTGGTGCTGACAACACCAAGCCAAGGGTTGAGATTCCCTTACCGGGCATCTTTAAAAAAAAAAAAAAAAATTCTAGGCCGGCCCGTGGCTCACTCGGTAGAGTGCGGTGCTGATAACACCAAGGCCACGGGTTCGGATCCTATATAGAGATGGCCAGTCTGCTCACTGGCTGAGCGTGGTGCTGACAACACCAAGCCAAGGGTTGAGATTCCCTTACCGGGCATCTTTAAAAAAAAAAAAAAAAATTCTAGGCCGGCCCGTGGCTCACTCGGTAGAGTGCGGTGCTGATAACACCAAGGCCACGGGTTCGGATCCTATATAGAGATGGCCAGTCTGCTCACTGGCTGAGCGTGGTGCTGACAACACCAAGCCAAGGGTTGAGATTCCCTTACCGGTCATCTTTAAAAAAAAAAAAAAAAAATTCTTGCTTTTTTCAATATGTGATTTTGAATTGGGTAATAGCATTCGTATGTTTCAAAATTCAGAAGCATACGAGGCATGCGTGGAATGTCTCCTTCCTGCCCCGCCCCGCCGCGTCTCTGGGTCCTTGTACACCCTTCCAGAGAGATTCTCACATGTTAAGGAGCGTACAGTTCTCTCTTTTTTAAAAAACATGAACTGCGTACAACTTGCTTTTCTCCGTTCCATGACACAAGGGAGCCCTTTCGTGTCAGCACGTGGTAGTCTCCTCACCTCTCCCTGCTGCAGAGTGGCTGCTGCGGTGGCTGCTCCCACCCGGGGGGCCCCACCTGGAGCCCTGCGGTGCCCCCTTGATCTGTGTCATTTATGTGCCAGGCTCTGTGCCGATGGTTCTCACAACTTGCTGTGGAGATCCTTTTTTTTTTTTTTTTTTTTTTCTGTGGTATGATTTACATACAATAAATGCACAGGACTTAAGCGTTGAGATTGGCATGTTCAGACAGCTGTATACACCTGATCGTCACCCAGATGACACAGAACATTTCCGTCACCTTGCGGCCCCCAGCCCCTTCCGGCTGACCCCCCCAGTTTTGTCTGCTCTTGAGTTTCACGTACATGAATCACACAGTATGCTCTCATTGCTGCGGATTTTTACGTATGTCCAATGTAATGACCGTGTGACTCATCCCCATCTCTGCCTGGGTTGGAGCTGGCTTATGGTAGATCCTTCTGTTGTCCCCATTTTACAGATAAGGGGACTGAGATTTAGGGAGGGCACAGTCTTGTGCAAAAGCAGCAGAGCAGGATTCCACCCAGGTGCGTACTCCCAAAGGGCCTTTGTGCACATGGGAGAGGATGGCACACATGCGTGGACACTCATGTACGGACACGTGTATGAGCACACACGTAGACACGCACAGGGTGCGTGTGGATGCATGCGTGGCTGCCGACACGTGGAAGCATGTATGAACACACATGTCTGATACACATAAACTTTGAAAATCGAAAGGAGCCCATTTCAGGCTTCCTGCTCTGCAGCTGTCCTGGTCACTGGAGGCTGGCTTCAAATTCCAGGGCTCTGACCTTGAGCGAGTCCCTTGACTTCTGCCTCTGTTTCCTCATCAGGCTGGGAGAGGATTCAAGCAAATGGGCTCTCAGCCCAGAGCACACACTGGAAGTGCTTATTAAACACCAACTGTTATCGCAAAGCAGCTATCCCATTTTTCCTAACAGGAGAGTCTGTCACTTTAAGCTGCTTCCTTTTCTCCCCTGAGGACCTGCCTTCCTGCCAGAAAGGGGAGGCTCAGCCCTTCCTGCATCAGTGGTAGCCCCTGCATGCCAGGTGCTCGCACCCACCTGCGGACAAATCAGGAGGCAGGAGGCCCAGGTGTAAGGCAGAGCCGGTCTTGGGCCCCAGGAGTGAAACCTGTGATTTGGAGAATCTGGGGGGACCTTGGGCCAGGCTCCCCCTTTGCACCCCTAAGAAAGCTTTCCCACCCTTTACCTGTTTTGACCTCCTCTGCTCCACCCACCTGGGATCTGTTTTCTCTTCTACACAAAATGTTCCAGAATACTCAGAAGCTGTGAGCCAGGCAGGCTCTGGTGTGTGTTCAGTGCACTTTACCATGATCCCTCAGTGTCCACCAGACACTAGCAGGCTTGGGGTGTGCCTTGGGTGGGGGACCAAGGCTCAATAAATGTCACTTGCTGTCACAACAGTGATTGCTGAGGACACTCCTGAGTATGAAGACTGACAGTCTCTGCATGGACAGAGCCCATCTTGGGCCCTTGCATCTGCAAAGCCATGGGCCCCCCAGGAACCGTGAGGGTGGTGGTCGTCATTCTCACTTATACATCACTCCCATCACCACCAGCCCTGTTCAGCAGGGAGCGGCCGGGCATGGGGCTGAGGCTGGCGTGTCTGCAGCTGGAATTCAACAAGGCTTTCTTGTCCCTGGAATTATTTTTAGGGCTACCTTCTACTTCCTGCAGGTGAAGTGGGATTTCAGCTACAGCAATGAGACAGCATTTCTGTTTGAGATAAACTAATTCGAGTAAAAAAAGTGTCTGTGTAAGGAGAAAAGGAATCCAGGAATGTGGCAGAGGTTATGAGAGAGGCTCCTAAAGGAAGGGGGTCTGGAAATTGGCACAGCTCAGGGCACTGGCTCCAGTGGGGGTGATGAGGGGGCCGGGCCAGCTGTGCCCTGCCCCACAGCTGCACCCTGGGGCCTCCCTGGTCTCCCACCTCACATGTACAGTCCCCGCCCGCCCTCAGGTGGTAAAGGACAACCTCAGCCCCGTGTGGGAGCCCTTCAAGGTGTCACTGAACTCCCTGTGCAGCTGCTAGGAGACGCGGCCTCTGAAGGTGGGGGCAGGCGGCAGTCGCTGCAGCCCAGCCTTCTGCAGTCGGAGTTCATGGGGAAGAGATGGCCAATGGGGGAGGTGGCTGAGGGCAGTCGGCCAGGACGGGACACACCAGGCTCGGGGGTGGGAGGGTCTGGGGCCCCCTGAGGGGCAGGTGGCCGAGGGGGCCTGGGCTTCCCAGTGCCTCGTCTGGGACTGCGACTCCCGGGGAAAGCACGACTTCATTGGAGAGTTTTCCACCACCTTCGAGGAGTTACAGGAAGCCTTCGCGGAGCACCGGGTGAGCTGGGCCCACACCGTGTCAGCTCCGCCACCGAGTCTGTGAGAACATCCTGACCTGTCCTGATGGAGTCACAGGAGGAACATATGACGTTATTGTTATTATTATAATCCCGAGAAGACTCGTGATGATACCAGGAGGTCCGAGCACGGCTGACAATCACCATGTCACAGCTGGAAAAACCCAGCCAAAGATTTAAGAGCCATCCAGGGTTGGGCCCAGGCCCTGGGTTCCCTTGCTTGCGTGTCTGTGTCACTGGTGGGAGACGGTGGAGACAGAGGACAGACAAATGGGGGTCGAGGAGAGAGGCCCTCCTGGCATGTCTGCACAGCCCACAGCAGCACAGCTCTCCATCCTGCCCCCTCAGCCCCGGTGTCCCTGGGTCCGGTCTGCAGGCCTTGGAGGCAGCCCTGGGTAATAGGGCCGCGCTGCCTGTGGGGTCCGAGCTGGACCCTGCCCCTTGTTCCTGTTCTTTTTTTTTTTCTTTTTGCCTTTTTTACTGACCGGTAACGAGATTGCAACCCTCGGTGTCGCGCCTGCACCGCGCTCAGCCAGTGAGCGGGAACCGGTCTCCACATGGGATCCGAACCCTCGGTGGGAGCACCGCCGCGCCACCGGGCCAGCCCACCTGTTCTTGACAGCAGTTGTCCCTGCTTCCCCTGAGTTTGCTGTTGGGGACAGTCTTGGGTGGGGCAAGGTCACTGTGGGGCTGGGACTTCCAGGCTCCCCTGGTCTCCTAGGACACGGCAGGTGCTCGATTCTGCCACTCTGGTTCGCGTCTCCCCTGTCCTTGCCCCCAGGCACAGTGGGACTGTGTGAACACCAAGTACAAGCAGAGGAAACGCAACTACAGGAACTCCGGGGTGGTCGCCCTAGTGGGCCTGAAGGGGAGGCGCAACCCCTGCCCACCCACGGGGGCTGCGGGGCTCTGCTGTCTCTGCTGCTGCATCTAAGCTCTGACGAACCCCTGTCTGGATTGTCCCAGAGGTCTGGTGGTCCCCAGTAATGTGAGGGGCTGAGAGAGACAGAGGGTGGGGGGCGAGGAGGAGGAAGTGGGGGAGAGAAGAGGGGGAAGGAGAGAAGGAGACGAGAGGACGGGGATGCCCCAGAGGGACTGAGGCTGTGGGACGGGTCTCTCAGACCCCACCCTGTGGTCAGGCCTCAGTTTCCTCAGGGTGGGTGGGGTGTCCTGGGCGGGCCCTTCTGACTTGCTGCCTGGAAGCTCCACAGGGTCTATTCCTTTCTGGTCTACATCATGGGCGGCTGCCGGATCCACTTCACCGTGAGTTCCTGGAGCCCCTGCTGCCCCCATGCTGGAGGGGTGGAGGCGCCTGGGCAGAGGGTGCCAGGGGTGGGGGCTTCTGTGGGACCTACTCTTTTTTGTCTTTCCTGGGGATCCTCTCCTTTATGCAGATGGGAAGTGGGCACGGCAGGATTCAGGAACCAACCATGGCCACCCTTGGGAGGTGACATTGTCAGGGCTTATCTCTATGAAATACAGTGACAGAGAGAATATGGGTAAAGGAGAACGGGGGAGTGTCCGGCTGCCAGGGTCCTGCCACACATCCTGGGCTGCGTGCTTGTGCGCAGATGCGCTGGTTAACGTGGCTTTACTAGTGGTAGCCCAAATGGCTGAGGGAAGTGAGGGGGTGGGAGGCTCAGAGGGGACCCCAGCCCAGGGCTGAGGGTGGTGGAGGGGGCAGGGGGCAGTTGAGCAGATTTGGGTGAGTGTCCCCCCCAGATCCTGGCACTGAGACCCCTCAGATCCTGTACCAGAGTCCCCACCAGATCCTGTCCCTGAGCCCCTGCCATCAGGCCAGGATATTTTGCAGGGTGCTGAGGCTCAGCTCCATGGTGCTCCTGGGAGAGTGTCCTCCTGAGGATCAAGGTCTGGGGAGAACCCTCCTCGCCCTGTGTGGCAGGTTCATGGGTCCCAGCCAGCAGCCAGGACTGCTGGGGTCAGCCAGGCTGCAGGGCCGGAAGCAGGAGCACCTTTGGGTAGCATCCACAGCCCCACCCACACACGAGGCCCTTGACCCCAAGTCCCCGCCGGCTCCGGGCTCGGGCCTCCACCTGTCAAACGGTGGTGGGTGTGGTGCGGGTCCAGCTCAGCTCACCACCCTGCAGGTGGCCATCGACTTCACGGCCTCCAATGGAGACCCCAGAACAGCTGCTCCCTGCACTGCATCAACCCCTACCAGCCCAACGAGTACCTGAAGGCGCTGGTGGCCATGGGCGAGATCTGCCAGGACGATGACAGGTGCGGCCCCTTGCCCCTGGCTCCTGCTCAGGACTGGGGCTCCACGAGGGGAGGCATTCACCAGAGGAACCTGCCTAGGAGAAGCCCAGCAGGAATGGCCTGCCTGGGAATGGCCAATGCCCTGCACACATGGTCCCTTCACTCTCCACACACACAGATGTGGGGGCTGTCTGGGTACTGCTTTACAGACCAAAAAACTGATGAGGGCTCACCCAGGGGTGCCCAGCTAGGGAGTGGCTGAGCACAGAACTCGGGTGGGCTGGGCTCTGAGCTCATGGCCAAACCCAGAGCCCTCTCCTGAGGCTCCCTGCTCCATGGAGTCCTCCCCTTTATACCCCCTGAGGAAGCATTTGCAGGTGGGAACAGCCTGTGCAGAGGCATGGAGTGGGGAGCAGCTTGGAATTGTCCAGTCAGTTCCACTCCTTCCCACCTGCGCACGTGGGTTGGTTTCTTCTCTGTGCCTCTGTTTCCCCCACGAGGCATGGTAGTGATCCCAGCACTGTGGTAATTGTCCTAGGCCTGGACGAGCCGGGCCCTTGTCTCCTGGGCTTCAGATCCCAGTCCCATCCCTGGGGACATCAGGATTCTCTGAGTGAGCGGGGCCGCCTCTCTTCCAATGACAAGAGATTTTCTGCTTTGGGGTTTGGAGCCCGGATCCCTCCCAAGTATGCGTTAGGAGAGCCCAGGTGCTGAGGCCTGCTCCCTGCCATGCTCCTCCCTGGGGGCAGAGGGTGTCCTGGGTTCTGGTTGCCACCATTGCCTGCTGGGAACCAGCTGCTGTACAATGGGGGTGGGGTAGGGAGCAGAGACCCTGGCCTTCCAGCCAGAGAGGCTGACCTTTGATCTTCTAGCCCAAGGAGCTGGGGAATGAGCTCCATGATCCCATCAGGAGACGGGAAGGACACGATACTAGTCTGGAACCATCTGGTTGCAAATAACTCAACTGGCTTACGTGGAAAAAATGGTGGTGTTAGGGGAGGGGACTTACTGGCTAATGTAACTTAGAAGCTTCTGGTACTGCTGATCCAGGGGCTAAAGCTTTAGCCCAGGACTGGACTATCTGTCTCCCCTCCTGCCCATCTCATGGTTCTGCTTTCCTTTGGGTCAGCTTCCCTTCCTTGGAGGTCTTTCAACATGGGGGCCCCCAGAAGCTCCAAACCTACCTCTCCCAGTGGGTGAGGAGCATGGGGGGTCCTGGTGGATGGACCAGCTGACCAGCCTGTCTTGTCTCACCCACGTATCCCATGACTTTGCCATCAGCTTTAACCCTGAGGGTGATGAGTGTGAAGGTCAGGCTCGAGGCGGGCCTGGGATGGGGGTGCAGCGGGCCGGGCTCACCCCTTGCCCCCCACAGGAATCCAGGGCGTGGTGGAGGCCTACCAGAACTGCCTGCCCAGCGTCTAGCTCTATGGCCCTACCATCGTGGTACCCGTGATCTGCAAGGTGGCCCGCGTGGCAGAGGCTGAGGAGCACACTGGGGAGGCCTCTGTAGGTGCCGACGTGCAGTGGGCCTGGGTGTATGAGCTGGCGGTGCTGGTGTGGGGTCGGCTGTGTGTGTGGTGGGGACCAGGCCGAGAGGACAGGACAGAGCCCGGAGGGGAGCGGTGGGGAGGAGGGGCCCGGCTTCTCAACAGCTGCTCTTTCAGAGCCACAAGGGGTGAATTAATCACCTCACAGGGTCACACCGGGCCAGCTGGCTGACCGACAGAATCTCCATCTCGCTGTCCCTTCTGTGCCACCCTACGGCAGTGACGTGGCGGTTTATTGTCTTGTCGTACATATGTTGTTACTTTGTGGGCATGTGTTTTAAATTTGCACAGATGACATCGTGCCAAAGATTGCGTTCTGCTCTGCCTGTCACCACGCCGTCTTGCAGCCTGTGGGTGCGGCTCAGGGATTAGCCGGCCAGTTCCTTTCTTTTAGCTTTTTATTTTCAAAAAACATCAAATGTACAAGTAGCAAGAATAGTACAATGACCTCTAGTGTACCCTTCACTTGGACTCACCCGTGACTGGCATTTTACCAGTTTACCCCCTCCCTTCTCCCTCTCTGGTCCCCTCCCCATCCGTGCATTCCCGTCATCTCTATGGGCCCTCTGGGAGCAGGGCTGGTTGCCTCCTATCACTTCCCCCGTACATTCTCCACGCAGCCTGCTAATTGCGAGGACCTTCTTGTACATGGTCATGGCTCAGCACTGAAGGCAGTCACCTCCTGTTATAATTCAAGCGACCCCAGGGTCTGGCCTCCTTGGCCTCCTGTTGGGGTTAATTCCATCTGGCCCAGCGAGGTCCCACTGCCCAATGGGTTGGCACCCTGCTTGGCAGTGGTCCACACATTTTACTCTTACCCTCCCAGGCACGGAGCCCCCAAAGCCGAGCCCCAGGAACAGGGCCTGCACAAAGGAGGGCAGGCTGGAGACCCCTCCCTACATGGGGGTAGGAAGAAGCCCTACTGGCAGCCTGGCGTGTGGGAGACACCCTGACCGTGCAGCAGAGGCCAGGACGGGAGTGCCCTGCCAGGCAGTTGCCCTCTGCTTGGGCTGTGTTCATCCGTGCCTTTTTTTTTTCAACAATTTCTATGCATATATATATATATATATATATATATATATATATATATTTTAATGTTTTATCACAGAGAATTTCAAACATAAAAAGTCAAGAAATAGCAAAATGAATCCCCATAGATATGTCCTGTAGCTCAACAGATGCCCCTGTCTATTTTCTTCTTCCTGAATTTAAAATTTTTTATGCTTTCTACTTTGGAATCATTTCAAGGTTACAGAAGAGTTTCAAGAATAGTGAAAAGAATCCTGATGCGCCCTTGGCCAAGGACCACCAGCTGCTCACGTCTTGCTGCCTTTGCTTTGTAATCCTGTGCACGTCAGTGTAGTTGTTTTCTGTGTGTGCTCCTTTTCCAATTTGGTTCAACTATGCATTTATTGTGTTAAAATACACATAGTTTAACAATTGCCATTGTAACTATTTTAAAGTGTGCAACTCAGAGGCGTTAAGTACATTCACCACGTGTAAACTCCACCTCCAGGACTTTTTCATCACTGCAAACAAAAACTCCGCACCTGTCTGCTTTCATGTACTCTTTTATTTATGCAAATAGTATTGTGCTAAAGATTGCATGGTGCTTCTGTTTTTTTAGCTTGACACCACACGCACGCGCGCACACACACACACACACATTCACACACACTCTCTTAATTTTTTGTGGACCATTTGAGAGGAGGTTGTAACATCTTCCCTTTCACCCCATAATACTTCAGTGTATTTTTCCTAAGATCAGGTATTCTCTTATGTAACCATAGCACAAGTGTCAAGTGCAGGATATTTAATTTAGATACAGTACTTTTATCAAATATATAGAATATGTTCCAATTCCATTAATTGCCACAGTGATAATTTTTATAGCAATATTATTTCTGGCACAGGTTCCAGTGCTGGATCGAGGAATGCACTTAGTTGTCATGTTCCTGTATAATTTTGAAGCAAGTCCCAGACGTTTAATTTCATCTGTAAATATCGGTATGAATCTCTTTTTAAAGCATAGTCACAGTATCATCACACCTAAAAAACAATAGTTCCTAGTATTAAATATCCAGTTAGTGTACACTTTTTCATGTCAGGATGTGTTTTATAGTTATAGTTGGGTTAAAATAAGGACCCCACAAGAAGATGGGTTAATTCTGGTCTGCTGGGGCCGGACAGGGATGACAGTGCCTGGTGTTCCCACGGTTGGCAAGGCTCAGGGGCTGTGAGACCAGGTCACGGTGCTGGACCTAGTCGGGGTGGTGGGATGGCGTGGGGCGCTTCCTGCAGAGGGGCTGTTTATGTGGGGTTGAGAGCCAGGGCAGGGTACTTCACATTTTCCAGGTGTTTTACATTTTCTGCTGCCCAAATTTTTAGTAAAATTGGTGAGGTTTTTGTTTTTTGGCGGCTGGCCAGGTTGGGGGATGTGAACCCTTGACTTTGGCGTTATCCACACCAGGCTGTAACCGACTGAGCCGCCTGGCCAGGCCTTGCTTGGTTTTCTAGCAGTGGGAACGCGCCTTTATTTGAAGCGAGTCCTGCCCCGTCTTCTTGCGGTCCGGGCCCGGCTGTGCACGCTCCGGGTCCTGCTCCTGGACCCCAGAGCCCCTCGGGAGCGTGGGGGCCGTCCCCATCCAGCCGCAGGTCCCTTCTTCTCTGGCCTCAGACCTGGGTTCAGATCCTGCCTCAGTGGCCTCATCCGTAAGATGCGGGCTGTGCCGTGTCCACTCAGGAGACGCAGGCACGACTGAGACGGGTCCAGCTCAGGTTGTTACTGTCGTGTGACTGTGACGTTCGCGTGCACTGCGGCAAAGACACTTAGAAAAGTCTGAAACCGCCGAGCGGAGGGTGCCCGTGACCGCCCCAGGCTGTCTGGGGATAGCAGCTGTTGTGGGCGTGCGTGGCGCGGGGCGTGCGGGGCACGCAGTGCGGGGTGTCAGCGCACCTGCTGCTGCTCTGTGTCCCCAGCGATACCACATCCTGCTGATCCTGGCGGACGGCGTGGTGACCAACGTAGCCGGTGTCCGTCGTCATCGTGGGGGTGGGCAACGCCGACTTCACCGACATGTGGATCCTCGACGGGGACGACGGGGTCCTGCGCTCCCCCAGGGGCGAGCCCGCGCGCCGCGACATCGTGCAGTTCGTGCCCTTCCGCGACTTCGAGAGCATGAGTGCCTGGGGTGGCCACTGTCCTTGTCGTGAGCTCAGGGATTCCGCGGTGCTCCGCGCAGCTGCCCCGTCGCTCCTCACCTTCGTGCTGCGCGTGGACAGCGCGGGGGCTTCCGCTCGGGGCGCGGGGCGTGCCAGGGGAGCGGGATTGTACCCTGCGGTGTGGGCGGGGGCCCTGCGCACAGAGGGCCCTCAGGACAGCAAGCACCCCGTGCAGCCACGGACACCGTGGCCTCATCCCCTCAGTCTGTGTCTTTAACAAAGGCTCGCCTGGCCACCGGCTCAGTTCCTGGTGCTGATTCCGTGACCGCTGCTGGGGTCACCGTGTGAAATCCCAGCTCTGGGGGACGTGGCCTGAGCCGTGACCCCAACGTGTGGGGGGAGAGGGGAGCGGGGACAGAGGATCCTGAAAGTCTCCAGATGCACCCGTGTTGTCCTCGTCCCCAGGTGTCCCCCGCGGCGCTGGCCAAGTGCGTGCTGGCTGAGGTGCCCAGGCAGGTCGGGGAGTCCTACAGCCGCAAGGACCTGCCACCACGCAGCCTTGGTGACCACGCCCAATTGGCCCGCCCGGGCTCGGCCCTGTGAGGACGCTCAGGGAGGAGTGCGTCCACGTGGTCCTGTCTGCAGCACCCTCCAGGTCCCCTAAGCTTCCCTCTGACTTCCCAGAGGCCTCCCGTCCCCCGGGCCCCACCCCTTGTCCCGCTGTGGTTCTGCTCCCTTGGTCAGCCTCTGGGGAAGGGTGAAGAAACCCTGTGGGGAGCCTGGGAGCAGCCACCACGTGCCTGGCCTTGTCCCAGCCAAGCAGTATGGGCTGGGGGATCCTGAGAAAGCAGGAGGGGCCTGGCAGCTCATCGAGGGTGGACCCTGGAAGGGGGCATGGATTGGGGATGCTCTGCTTTGCATTGGACCTTTGTGGGAGGGGCCGGCAGGGCAGTGTCCCCATCACTGATGGGCCCCAGAGCCTGGGACGCCCATCCTGGCAGTCAGATCCTTTCCTGCCCCAATGGGCACCCCCACCCCTGCCACCCTGTGCTCTGTGTTGTCTTGCCTTGGCACCCGCATCTGCAGGGCCTGCGGAGTCTGCAGGTGGGGAGTTTCAGGCATAATAAAGTGTAACCTTATCCTCGCAGCATCTCATGCCTTCACTCTCTCGCCACACCAACAGAGGACTAGACCTGGCACTGGTGGGTGGGACCGGAAAACCTGCTCCTCCACACCTGGAGCAGGGACCCTTCCAGACACAGCCTCACAGGGGCCCCTCCTGGATGCAGGGAGTGCTGGGGGCTGGCGGGTGTGATGGCCACCCCAATGCCTGAGTGACCTCCCTCTGCTTCCTGTGGCTCCCAGTCCTGAAATCCACACCAGTGAGGATCCTGGGCCAGGCGCTGAGGCTGCAAGGCCCCTACTCCATGACCCATGACTGCCTGGGTGGAGGGACACCCTGTGGGGCCTTCGCTCCGGAGTGAGGCCCTACTGTGTGCTGTGTGCTCTCAGCAGAGGGTGTCTCCCACCTGTGGGGTGGGTTTCCAATTGAGATTTTCCCTGAATTATTTTGTCTGAGAAAAGCAATCCATCCCGACCCTAAGTCAGGCCTGTGGTCTGTGCATCCAAGCTCGGGCTACCTTTAGCTCCTGATTCATCCCTTGTTAAGCAGGGATAATAGGCATCGCCATGGTAACCTGGCTACTGCGTGAATTACAGAAGGACTGTTGCTGGTCTCTTTGGGGATGGAGAGAACACAGAGAATCACCCTCCTGTGTCCACATCTGGAGGCAGCAGGCTGTCCTGTGACACCTGCCAGCGGTTTCCAGCACCAGAGAGTACTGGGCAGTTCCTGGCTCCACCTGGGGTGAATCCAGGCTAATTACTATATTTATCATTACACATGGTCAGTAGAGATCCCAGCTGGAAGCAGATGCACAGAGCGGCCCCCTTGAGCTGGGGCAAAGCCCAGCAGGAAGCAGAGACAGGAGATGTCTGGGCCATCCTGGTCTTCATGCTGCTGGGACACACAAGGGGTGTGAGGGGCCACTGGGGAGAAGTGGGGGTTGGAACAAAGTCACCAGCTCAGCTGTAAGGATGGGGTGACTTTCATCAGCTGATTCCCAGCCTGAGAAAGAACCCAACTTTGCCCAGAGGCAAATACAATGATAAATATTTTATTTCTTTCCCATAACCCCATGGGGTAGGTTGGGGTGGACGCTGGCTGCTCCTGCTGGCCCAATGTCTATTCCTGCCTCCCCGGGAATTGCAGCCCAGTTTTACTGTGAGGACCCTCCCCATCACTCTTCCCATGTAGTTTAGTGGACCTGGACCCACTGTCCAGATTCCGGGGTGGACACACGGCCCAGGTCTGGCCAGTCAGGCAGGGAACAGCTGTTCCCCGGCCACGGTGATGGCTTCAGGGGTGGGCATGTGGCCTCAGCTGCCCAGTGAGGCTCGGTTCTGGCACTTTTGCTGGTTCTTTGGTTTCTCCTTGGATTGCTAAGCTGTTGAGATGGTGACCACTTAGCCACCGTGTGGACAGAGGATGTAGACCAGAGAAATGGCATGAGGGAGATACCTAGACTGGCTCCTGAGCCAACACTTTCCAGCTGAGGGGCCTGTGCCCTCCCCTTCTGCTCAAGCCAGTTGGAGGTGGGTTTCTGTCACTTGTCACCAAAAGATCCTGGCCCTGCAGGATGACAAATACTCCCATTACACACACAAGAAAACCAGGGCTCAGAACAGTGCAGGACTTACCCAGGGTCTGGTTGGAGCAGAAACAAGACCCACTTGCTTTGTACAGTTCCTGAATTTATGCCTCTCGCTACGTCTTCTATCAAGGGATGTACGTTCAGCTCTGGACTCCAGAGGGGCTCCCAGGGAGGGGACAGGGCACTTGGAAATCCTGCCAGCTGGAGCGGAGACCTCCAGATAGGAACAGTGGGTCCTCCAAGTCTTCAGCACCTCTCAGCCTCATAAAAGCACGAGTATGGCTCTGCAGCTCAGACATGGATTTTTCAAACAAGCAGAACCAGAAAGTGTGTGACCACCAAGGACCCCCATGGCAGGAGCCCCCTGAAATTCACTCTTCAGAAATCACGTCCAGCTCACTGTTGGAGGGACCCCTTCTTGGAAGGTGGATTTGGGATTTGGAAACAGTCTGGAGGTGCTTGGGCTGGTCAGGCTGGACACCCGGCTCTAGTTGTGAATAGCTGTGTGACCTTGGGCAGGTCATCTCAGTCTGAATGCATCTGAACCTGGTTCCTTGTCTGTCACAGGAGGACATGGCAGATTTAAAACACATCCCTAAACTCCTGGGGCCCCTTGCATTGAGGCTAGGTCATGAAAATGCCATGCCTTCCCTGCTCCCCTGAGACGCGGCTCCTGGGCCCAGTCGCCATGCTGCAAAGAAGCCCTGAGCAGCCTGTGCGCTGGAGCCCAGGCCCCCGCCCCTGCTGAGCTCCCAGTGAGGCCAGAGACTCGGTCCTGCTGATGCTCTGCTGCAGCCTCATGGGACATCTCAACCAGAACCACACAGCTAAACTCTCCTTGTCTCCTGACCCACAGACATGGTGAGAGCTGTCCTCGGGTGTGGCTGTTCTAAGCCACAAGGTTTTGGTGGGCTTTGTTACACAGCAGGAGATAACTGGTACAGCCTCCTCACAGGGATCGTGCGGTAAGACACAGGCCTGGCACAAAATACCTGCTTGGCAAATAAATATCAGCTTCACAGGGGAGTGTGGCTTCTCTTTCTCGTCCTGAAGTTGTTTTAAACGTGCCCCCACCCTGCTGGCCACCGGCCTACCCCACAAAGCCCCCTCTGGACCTCAGAGGCCAAGAACTCGGGTCAGTCCCCACCCCCAGTCCCGGCCCACCCATCCTGAGGGTCTGGCTCCGGCTCCGCTGCAGGTAGTGGGAAGAGGCCGCTCAGTCTCAGGCTGCTCTTTCTTCTGCTGCTTAGAGGAAGCGCAGGCAGGAAATCGTGACTAAGTGCTTGTAATTGGTGCGGGGGCCGAGGCGGGGCTGTCAGATGAGGTGAAGCACCGACCTCTGGCACGGGGGCTGTGGGTGGTGTCTTCCTCAGCACCCGGCGCTCGCCTGTCCCTGAGCGGCCACCCCACCTGATCAGAGGGCACCCAGGACCCTCACCCCGTGTGGACCCTCTCCTTCCCCATCAGAATGTACAGCAGCCACTGGCTCCACAGCATGGAGTATTTCTTAGGTTCCTGGCACTCACCGGGATTGTTGCAACAACCCCACATAGCAGGCCTGTTGTAAGTGTGTTTCACAGAAGGGGAGACTGAGCTCAGAGAAAGCGAGCCACTTGGCCCAGGATGCACAGCTGGGAGGGGCGGAGGGAGTCAGGAGCTGGGCCATGTGCCGTGTCTTCCAGCCTCAAAGCCTGGAGCCTCCAGGCCTTGGTGCGTGTTTTCACATGTGCTTGTATGTGTCATGTGTGTGTTGCGCATGTGGGGAGGGGCAGGGTTTGGGGTCTTTGTCCTCAGTTGCTTCACTGAAGCCTGTTTACAAACACCCAGCCATGCATGGGGCTGGCCACTATGTGGGTTTGTTTCTGTTATTGGCATCCAGACAGAGCCGAGTGTGTGACACACAGGGTCTGAGTCAGCCCCGCCCCTCACGGGGACAGACAAGTGCTGGGCTTGGGGGCCAGTGCTACAGGGAGATGTTCCCCTTGTCACCAGGGTGAAAGTTGGGACCTGGGTTGGGCTAGCCCTCGGGCAGCCACAGCCCCCAGAAGGTTCCGTCTCCTAGCCACAGGAAGAGCCTCGGCCCAGAGGGGGCTGCAGGGGAGACAGCTGCTGGCAAAGCTGGGAGTCACTGTCCTGAGCTCCTCTTTGGGAATCCAGCTGGCCATGCCTGGGGTCGACCAGGGTGGGAGCAATACTACCCACGATAGCCAAAAGGAAGCAATCCAGTGTCCATCAATAGTGGAATGGACAACCAAAACGTGGTCTATACCCCCAATAGAACACTATCCACTCTTAAAAAGGAAGGAAATTCTGATACAAGCTACAACACAGATGAACCATGAAGAAAGTGAAATATGTAAGTCACAAAAAGACAAATATTGTGTGATTCCATCTGCGTGAGATAACTAGAGTAGTCAAATTCCTAGAGACAGGAAGTAATGGTGTCACCACAAGCGAGGAGAAGGGAATGGAGAGTTGGTGCTGAATGGGCACAGAGTTCCAGCTGGGGAAGGTGAAAAAGTTCTACAGATGGATGATGGTAATGGTTGCACACGATGTGAACGTAACATCAGAGAAGTGTACAGTTAAACACAGCTAAAACGGTAAATTTTATGCACATTTTACCACAGTAAAAAAAAAAAAAAAAAAAAAAAAAGGGCCGGCCCGGTGGCACACTCAGTAGAGTGCGGCGCTCCCGCCGAGGGTTCGGATCCCATATAGAGACCAGTCTGCTCACTGGTTGAGCGCGGTGCGGGCGCGACACCGAGGGTTGCAATCCCGTTGTCGGTCACGAAAAAAGACAAAAAGGGGAAAAATAAATAAATAAATAAATGCTCGTCCAGGAAAACCAGGAGCAAAAGCAGGGCCTTGTCCACTCCCTTGTGCAGC